CTGTGTTCATCCAGCTCTACACCTTGTTATCTCTAATCCATTTCCTTGTGTCAGTTTCCCAATCTCTATTGCATTTGTTCCACTGATATTACCTTCCACAGTGGTGACTTTAACATGTTCTCCGTTTTTTCGTCAGTTGATTCCCTCCCCCAACAATTGCAGCTGTTAGGGCCCCCAGCCTTCTCCAGCCCATTTCCCACACCTCAGCCCTCACACCTTGCCCTCCCAAAGCAGTGATAGGGTTCTGTCACCCCAGCAAGATACCACCACCAAACACAGTCCCTCCTTTCCCTTGTCAGCATTGTGTAGGACCGTTCCCTTGATGATGTCCTTGTTCACTCTTCCATCACTCCCAATAATCCCTGCCCTCTCTCCCCATAGCAGCAATCAGAGAAGGTGCCACACTTGCCCAATCACCACCTCCCTCCTCACTGTCCAAGGCTCCAAAGCATCTTGCAGGTGAAGCAGCAATTTCCTTTCACATCTTTGAATTGGCCTACTGTATTCACTGCTTACAGTCCTTGACGTTGGCGAGACCAAACAGTCACTGGACTGTCACTTTGCGAAACACTTCCACTTTGTCTGTAAGAATCTCCCTGACCTTCTAGTTGCTTGCCATTTCAAGACACCTTATGCTTTTGTGCAAAAATTTCTGGTTCTGCTACAGTTGTTGAGTGAAGCCCAATGTAAGGTGGAGTATCAAATTCCACTTAGGCACTTTATAGACTTCAGAACTCACCTTTGAGTTTGCCGATTTCAGCGCATGACCTCTATCCCATTTTGATTGTGCCTCCCTCCCCCTCACCCCGCCCCCACCCTGGCGTCTATGTATTGTTTGCATGGTTTATCTCCTTTCGTACCATTAGCACTCCCTTTGTCCTTTGGTCTCAGCACCCTCACCATCTGTTCTAGTTGTCCCTCCCCTGCCTTTGTCAACAGCATCAAAACCATCATTTCTGCGCCACCCTTCAGTCCCAAAGGAGAGTCGTTAGTTGTGAAATGTTAACTCTGTTTCTCTCTTCATAGACGCTTCCAGGCCTGCTGAGCTTTCCAGCACTTTGTTTTTATTTGCGGCTAACTGTGAATCATAACTGGATGAGTCAATTTGATTCCAGTTTGACTAGTCTAGCCTAGTACCTTCCAATGCATTCTAATTTGGAAGAGTGATCAATTTTCAAACTCAGGTGCTGCAGTACATGAAAAGATACCCAACTTACCTAAAAATCTTACAAAGTAACTTTTTTTGTTCTAGCCTCTTGATGCTTATTAAATAACAATGCTTAGAGTTGGATAGAAGTTTATGGTAGCATTCTCATGTGTACTGTTTGCTATGCAGGTCAAAACTTTTTAAACAATATTTAGTATTAACTGAAAAAAATTCAAGTACTGCAGATGTGAAATTAAATGTGATAGAAGTACATCTATTTTAATTCCATTAGTACTTGCAAAAGGATGAGTGTAGTGGAGTTCATGCTTTCAAAAGTCATTTAAAGTACTTTGACAAACTGCCGCAGCATAGACTTGCTAGCATGATTATAGACCATAGCATTGCAGGGATGGTGGCTGCATTGGCTAAGGGAGAGAAAGGAGAGAGTTTCGATGAACACTTCTTTTTAAGACTGCAAGGAGGTATACAGTAATGTTCCCTGGGAATGGTAGGGTCGCTTTTTTTTAAATATTTATTAATGACTTGGACTGAGAATACAGAATGCAATTTCAAAGTTTGAAAAAGATAGAAAACTGGTAAACAATGAAGAAGATAGGAAAGAACTGCGGGGGGACTTAGATGGATAACATGACAGATGAAATTTACGACAGGAAAGTGAGCAATGATTCATTTTGGTCAGAAAAATTAGAAGATGCTATAAAAACTATACAGTACAATTTTAAAGGGGGCACACGAAAAAGTGATCTGAGAGAGCTATAAACACAAATCTTTGAAGATGGTTGAATACATTGAGGCAATCAAAAAAGACCACGGAAGTTTGGTTTTGTTGGCAGAGGAATAATTATAAAAGCAAGGCATCCAATACTTGTTAGGCTTCTGGTGGAGTGTTATGTTCAATTCTGGGCAACAGACTTTAGGAAGGATTTAAACACCTGGCAATGGCACAAAAGTGATTTATCAGAGATTAAAGATTTCAGTTATGTGGAGAGATTTGAAAAGTGTTGTTAGAGCAAAGAAGGTTAAGAGTTAATTTGGAGTTTTCAAAGTTATAAGCATACTTGATAAAATGAAGAAGGAGAACCTGTTTCTGGTTGCAGGAGAGCTGGTAACCAGAAGAGACAAAACAATTTGGCAAAAGAACCAAAGGTGACATGAAGTATGTTTCACTTAGCGATTTGTTGTGATCCAGAATGTGCTGCCTGCAAGTGTGATGAAATTGAATTCAGCAGTAACATTCAAAAGAGACTTGGTAAATACTTGAAGAATAACGGATGCAGAGGGCTATGGGAAAGCGCATGAGATTGATTGGCAGATTTTGGTAGAGCTTTCCAGAGGCACAATAGGTTGAATAGCCTCCTCCTGTGTTGTATTACACTATTATCTTACCTAACCAATGATAAAGTCAGCACCTTGCAGACTTTAAAATCGTAGCAAAAGCTGCCAATAAATCAATTTTTTTCTTTATTTGGAGATGTCTGTTATTGTATGAAGGGTAATTAATAGTGTTCGTTCAGCTTTCATGTATTACAAATACGCAGGAACTAGCTCAGACTGATATGTGTGTTTTTTTAATGGGCACATGCTTTCCAGATTACAGGAGGTTGCTCAACTTGTTTTGGACTTGGAGTTACTTGAATCCCAGCCAGAAGAGCAACAATTCATGTGCCTATTGAGCTCACGCTTTCTATCAGGTTAGCACAGGTTGATGCCCATTAGGAGAATGATTTAGACTATTCTAGCTTCTAAACCATAGTAATTTTAGGATTTTTACCCTCTGCACAATTGTTGCATCACAATTAACAGGCTTTTAAGCTCAGAGGATGCAATCATGAAATTACAAGAAGAAAATGGATTGAAGTACCAGCGTGCAGTATTGGGCTGTGAAATCATTGACTGGCTAATAAAGGAAGGGGAAGCTTCATCGAGGAAGGAAGCAGTGGAGCTGTGCCGTAGAGAACTTGAACATGGAATCATTCAGCATGGTGACGGCTTTTCATTACATATATCTTTTTATTGGACATTTCTTGTGTATTGTAATGATAGATGGAATCACCAATATCTTATTTCTCACTAAGTCCCACATTTCCATATTCCCCATTCTGACAGGTCTACATTGAATTATTATGCTCCAATGTGTTAAGGTTAAGCATTGCATTTTCACAATTTGCTTTTACTTTATCCCATTCTATGTCCCCCAGCAGCTTTATATCTACTGTCCACTCTTAAACTTGGTCATTTAACTTTGAATTAACACATGTTTCCTCCCAGCCTGCTAAATCTAATGAGGCCTCTGGAAGCAAGTGTTAACCAGGGTGGGGGACTTTGTTAGGCAAGATCCAAAATTTTGGTTTCACCATGTTAGTCTGCTTGAGAAGGTCTTGTCTCCTATTTCCTGACAACTTCTGTGTCTACACCAAATGATGTTGATCACCCTTTGGATCTGAGCTAAGGTTATAACTTTGTTGAATCAGTGGCACAAGATAGAGGGTCAGGAGAGGCTGGATGGTTGAGGAACAGCAAGGATGAAATAGGGATGGTGAATGGAAAGGAATGGTGATGATCAGGACCAATAATTATGAATGGTGGAATACTTTGGCTGGCAAGTGGTGTCCAAATGTAGCCAGCCTCTGACCTCTAAGATTAGCACTGTTGTTGGAGAGTTCTGGTTCTTTTGTCCAAGGAAGCCAACTGTAACACACCCTGAGACAATCATCGTTAGAGCTCCAGCTCATGATCAAACAATGCATGAAGGTACCTGGCCCAGCATCAGTTGCTGAGATGAGTTCACTGTTGGAGAATATCGCTAAGGCCACCATTGAGGTCTTCCAACAATCTGCTGAGCTGAACAGCAGTGTTGTGTCAGCTGGAATTGGGCTGTTTAACCCGAACAATAACTGCAACAATGGAAATAGTAACCCAAGGCAGAATGGCAAAAAGACGTTCCTCAGCTGTTCAGAGAGGATATATAGTATGGGATGGATCTGAAATTTGATGGAGGGCAAGTCATGGGTCTTTCAGGAAAGGTTGAGGGAAACTGAGGTCAGGTGACGGATGATGGAGGGAGATTCCAGAATGATGGCAGGCATCTGGGTCATGCGTGATGGTTTGAGGCTCAGGGATAATTTGGGTAAGATCAAGGTGATACTAGGTGGGTTGAGGGGTGGGGTCATGGGTTGGTCAACTGTACCTGCCAGTTTGGTGAATGCCATATCTACCCAGGTGCTTATATCTTTGCCTACCTTTGTCACACTGACTTTATGGATTTACAGAGACGGTGAAGTGACAAAACATCTTAACTTTCCTGTTACAGCAGCTGTGGTTGAGGCAGGCTACTGAGTCTAATGCCCTGGTTGTGTACAATTACCTCGGTGACCATTGTCCAGTAGTTTGAAGTTTTGAGGTCTCACCAACTGGGGTCTAGTGCATAGATGCAGGAGTACCCTCCTATGATGTCTACTGAAGACCCTGGGATCACTGGCTGGGGGTTGGGAAGCAGCTGCTCACCCAGACATTGCCCTGAGAGTGGCACTTCCATGTATCCCTAAGTACAATGGCCACCGAGAGGGAGGTGATTCGCTCCTCCGTGTCCAGACATTGCTATACAAAATCCATGGTTAGAGCAATGTAGTTCAGGCCTTATGCATATAAGTTGTATGATAGATACAAGGACATGAATCAGGAGCAGGAGTTGGCCCATTCCACCGTTTAATAAGATCATGTTGATTTGGTTACTCCACATTGGTGACAACCCATGATGACATTTTACGATCTTGCTTATCATGAACCTATTCATCTCTGCCTTAAACTGGTTCAAATATTCTCACTTCTCTGAAAGGCAGTGAAAGCAATTCAGAAAGCTCTCAACCCTGTGAGAAACCATTTCTCCTCATCTCTATGTTAAATGGGCAACCCCTTATTTTCAAACAGCGACCCTTCATTCTAGATTCTCCCATTAAAGGAAACATCTCCTTCACATCTATCCTGTCAAGACTGCTTAACACCTTGCATGTTTCAATCAAGGCACACCTATCTCTTCGAAACTCTAGTGGATACAAGCTTAGCTTGTCCAACCTTTCCCCATTAGATAACAGACACATTCCAGGTATGTCTAGTAAACCTTCCCTGAACTGCTTACAATGCATTTACATCCTTCCTTAAATAAGGTGACCTGTACTATACTCTAGATGTGGAATTTTCCAACCATTTCTCTCTGAATTTCAGATTTACAGCATACGCAGTATCCCTAGTTCCAGAATCAAGTTCTCCCTAGTAATCACCAGTCACTCTTGGGAGGAAGCCATGTTACTCACATGCTGGTGTTAAACCTGCTCTTGAAGCTTGGGTGGCCTTCAATACCATCCACACAAGGTATCACTATTTCAGCAGCAGGTCAGAATATTCTCAACTTGCTGCCTGGCCAAAGTAAAATGGAACAGCTGCCCCTGCACCCTGGTGCTGGCCTCACATGGTGTCAAAACCTTCAACTCTAGAACTCTTTCTCCTGTCTTGGGTCTCTGTTTACTTTGAAGGTCATGTAATCCTATATGCAAATATGGAGATTTAATGGCTTATCAAGAGACATCTACTTCCGTTCTCCTCGTGGATTCCCATTCCACATCCTTCCCCACATTGTAACTGATATCCACACACCTTATAATGCACATGTAACACACACAGTCTGATCTCTGGTACCATGAGTTGCTGAGGATGACCACACATTCTCTAGCTGGTCCTCTCTCTTCACTCTCAAATTTCCATTGCTTGGTACCTTTGTGTAAGCCCTTTGATGCAATGCCAAATCGCCAGCAGATCAGAGGAAGTCATTGAGCCTTTTGTGGTGCTAGACTTGATGGATGTTCACCCTGTCAGTGATCTCTATCCAGGCCTGTTAAATAGGGATGATCTTCTATTGTCACCTCCAGAAGAGCACTTCCTACCATTCCCAGATGGCCTGGAGGAAGCTTGGACACGGTGCTGAAGCTGGGGAGCAATGGACATCCCAGAAGATGATTACCGTAGAGGAGAGGGTGGAGTGAGGGGACATCTGAAGATGATTGCTGTAGAGGAGAGGGTGGATTAAGGGGTATCAGAGGATAATTGCTGAAGAGGAGAGGATGGAGTGACAGGGCATCAGAGGATGATTGCTGTAGAAGAGAGGGTGAACTGATGGGGCTGAATCGGTCAAAGCTCCAAAGTGGGTGCAGGATGTGCTTCCAGAAATAATGCTTCAGTAGCCTTGTTCCCAACTTGTTCCCACCTGCCTGCAGAGACAGTATGCTTCGTGAGGCAGACATTTTGTCACTGGCCCCGACCTGCAGTTGGTTCTGGCAATGGCAGGGGAAGATGTTTTGTGCCAGTTGCCCCTGACAACTGTGACCGATCATGGACGTAGAGGTCATTTCTGGACCCCCTAGCAGGACCTTTTCATAAACTTCTGCTAAAGACAGAATTTATTAGCTACTTTGATCAGCTTCACTGCCTGCTGCTCCCACGTTAAACCCTCTGGGCTCACTACTCCTTTCACCTTGTATTAAAACTGGCACCTCTGAATGTTTGCCTGCCTGATCCAGAAAAAGTTGTTTTCCAAAATATGCAAATACTGTCACAGCAAGTTTGGACATATTATTTATAGGCTAAGAGCCAATACTATTACATATTTGATAAACAAGTTTAATAACTACTAGTTGATGTGGTGCTGTCTTCTTTGATTTCTGGCACAGAAAGATTTAAGACTGAGACTAACTGCAACGAAATATATCCTTTAAAGTAAATACTGAAGCAATCAGAACCCTTGCTGATCCCGCATAAGAAAATTTCATTTTTTGCAGAATTTATGTTTGGAGGTGAAAAGGCAGCAGAAGGTGTAATAAGGTGTTTTTTTTTAGTCAGGAAGTCTGGAAAAATAAGACCCTGGGTATATGGATATACCACAGGTTGTTCCAAATTTTTAACTGTCTGTCTGTTTAATTTAATCGTCCTACATCCATTAAAACCAAAGTCAGTGAGTTTGTGATGAGTAGGACTTCGGTTTGCCATTTTAATGTTGTGGCCTCCCACCCAAACTTATAGCACTTGCTTTTAGAATTCTAGATTTTCCTCCATTCAGTGAAAAGAATGATGTGGTTTGATTTTTTTCTACATATGGAATATGGAAATATATATGCCACAGCGAAACTCTTCCAGGTCAGGCAAAATACATTAAATGCCACATAAGGCACTTTGCCTGAGGTGGATTGTCAAGTTTGTGTCAAATGAGGGGTAGTTTTGTTCATTTCTGATGTGACCCTTACAAACACTGTAACAATGTGACTTTTATTTCACCTGTCTGGGTTGGATTGTTATCCAGATTTAAGAAGTGAAAGACTAGTGTAAAATACGCTGTGTTAGGATCTCCAATTGTGAAACACTAGTATAAAACTAGAAATGGAAGAACCTAAAGTAACCAGACTGCTTTGACTGAGCAATGGTTTGTTGTTTTGCAGTCTCCAATCGTCACCATTTCTTTGACAGCAACTTATTATATCAGTTCCGCTTAAACTTTCGTCGGAGGCGACGACTGACTGAGCTGTTGAGCGAAGATTCAGGGACAGCACAGGAATCTCATGACAGCCCATTCTGTCTGCGAAAGCTGAATCCTGAACAAGACGGCTCAAGTTTTCTTTCAGGTAGAAGGCTTTTCGAGAATATATCTTTGCAGAGATACTAGTTCTGACATACAGTGTCCTAGTAGAGATCCCTTTGCAAGTAAATCTTTATAATGAGGTTGTAGACTTGCTCACCGAGCCGGAGTTTGTGTACAAACACTGAAAAACAGAACCGGAAGTAATGCCAACCACTCCAGCAAACCGAGGCATGTAAATAACAAGTGGAACAGAACACCAACGCTTCACCAGAGGCGCGCTGACGATGTTACCGAGCAGGCTGATGACTCTGGCTCAGTGAGCAAGTCTACAACCTCATCCACAACCCGAGCTACAAATCTTCTCAAAAAACTTTGAATCCATATAATGTTTAAAAAAGAAATACATAAATTTTTGCAAAAGATCTGTAAAGTATGTTCCGGTTTAAAATTATACTTGTGTGCCTGTTTGTGGTTGTGATATAAAGTTTGCTTGCTTCATTGCTTAAATGTGAATCTGCAGTTTTTTTTAGAATTATTGCTTTTGGAACCATTTTTCATTTTAAAGTTTGTTCTGATTTTGATTAATTTACCATATGATACTGTAATTTCTTATCAAACTGTGAAAGATCTTCCAATGTTTTCAATATTAGCAACTGATTTTGACCTGGTTGGAAGATGTATAAAATTCATATTAGCAATTCATTAGTTAAAGTGTGCACCTAAAAATGGATATCAGAAGTTGAGTTGTAGTGGTCAGTGAGTTGGCAACATGAGGATATAGAGTCATAGAGATGTATAGCATGGAAACAGACCCTTAGGTCCAACTCATCCAGGCTGACCAGATATCCTAAATAAATCTAGTCCCATTTGCCAGCATTTGGCCCATATCCCTCTAAACCTTTCCTATTCATATACCCATCCAGATGCCTTTTAAACATTGCATTTGTACCAGCCTCCACCACTTCCTCTGGTAGATTTCATACACGCACCACCATCTGTGTGAAAATGTTGTCCCTTAGATCCCTTTAAAATGTTTCCCCTCTCACCTTAAACTTATGCCCTCTAATTTTGGACTCCCCCCATCACGGGGAAAAAAGACCTTGACTATTTACCCTATCCATGCCCTTCATGATTTTATAAATCTCTATGAGGTCACCCCTCAGTTTCTGATGCTCCAGGAAAAATAGCCCCAGCCTATTCAGCCTCTCCCTATAGCTCAAACCCTCCAACCTCAGCAAAATCTTTGTAAATCTTTTCTGAACCCTTTCAAGTTTCACAACATACTTCCTATAGCAGGGAATCAGAATTGCATGCAGTATTCCAAAAGTGGCCTAACTCATGTCCTGTACAGCCTCAAGATGACCTCCCAACTCCTATACTCAATGCACAGACCAATAAAGGCAAGCATACCAAACACCACCTTCACTGTCCTAGCTACCTGCTACTCCACTTTCAAGGAACTCTTTTTTTTCAGCAACACTCCCCAGGACCTTACCATTAAGCGTATAAGTCCTACTTGATTTGCCCTACCAAAATGCAGCACCTCATGTTTATCTAAATTAAAATACATCTGCCACTCCTTGGCCCATTTGCTCATCTGATCAAGATACCATTGTACTCTGAGGTAACCTTCTTTGCTGTCCTCTACACCACCAATTTTGGTGTTATCTTCAAACTTACTAATCCTACCACCTACGTTCACATTCAAATCATGTATATAAATGACGAAAAGCAGTGGACCCAGCTTCAAGTTCCCTAGCTTCCATATCCTTCTCCATAGTACATACTGATGCAAAATACTTGTTTAGTATCCACCACCCCCCTCATCTCTTGCGGTTCCACACATAGGCGGCCTTGCTGATCTTTAAGGGGCCTTATTCTGTCCGTGGTTACCCTTTTGTCCTGAATGTATTTGCGGAATCCCTTTGGATTCTCCTTAACCCTATTTGCCAAAGCTATTTCACGTCCCCTTTTTTGCCCTCCTGATTTCCCTCTTAAGTATACCCCTACTGCTTTCATACTTTTCTAGGGATTCACTCAATCTCTGCTGTCTATACTTGACATTCTTCCTTCTTTTTCTTAACCAAAGCCTCAATTTAACTAGTCGTCCAGCATTCTGTACTCCTACTAGCCTTGCCCTTCACCCTAACAGGGTACTGCCTCTGGACTCTTGTTATCTCAATTTTGAAGGCTTCCTATTTTCCAACCATCCCTTTAACTGCAAACATCTGCCTCCAATCAATTTTTGAATGTTCTTGCATAACACTGTCAAAATTAGCCTTCCTCCAATTTAGAATTTTAACTTTTAGATTCAGTCTATCCTTTTCCATTGTTATTTTGAAACTAATATAATTATGGTCACTGGCCCCAAAGATCTCCCCTACTGGCACCTCAGTCACCTGCCCCGCCTTATTCCCAAGAGTAGGTCAAGTTTTGCACCTTCTGTAATAGGTACATACATGTACTGAATGAGAGAACTTTCTTTACACACTGAACAAATTCCTCTCCATCCAATCCCTTAACACTATGGCAGTCCCAGTCTATGTTTGGAAATTTAAAATCCCTTACCATATCTATCCTAAAATTCTTACAGATAGTTTAGATCCTCCTAAGCAGCTCTAACAAATCTCCGCACCAGTATATTAGTCTCTTTCCAATTCAGGTGCAATCCATCCTCCTTATACGGGTCACTTATACCCCAGAAGACATTCCAATGATCCAAAAATGTAAATCCTTCTCCCCTGCACCAGCTCCTCAGGCACACATTCATCTGTTCTATTCCTCCTATTTCCTACCCTCACTAGCTCGTGGCAGTGGGAGTAATCCAGATATTACTACCATCGAGGACTGCCTTCTTAAATTCCTGCCTAACTTACTATATTCTGTCCTCAGCATATCACCATTTTCTCTTCCTAAGTTGTTAGTTCCAATGTGTACAATGACCTCCTGCTGGTCCCTCTCCTCTTTGAGAATGTTCTGCACCCTCTCCAAGATATCCTTGATCCTGGCACTAGGGAGGCAACACACCATTCTATGAATTTAAGATCAACAGAAAAAAGAACTAGATGTAAAGTTGAAATTTTTTTTGCAGAGACCCTAGTTGGGACATAAAATTTTCTATTTTCTATTACGAATGCCTTTACAAGTGAATCCATGATAATGTGTAAAAAGGAAATGCATCAACTTTTGCAAAAAAACTATTTTGTAGAAGAATCTGGGAAGAAAGCACAGCAGTGGTGCTTACTGGATTGCTCTTTGAAAAAGCAGGTGCAGAAAAGTGCCCTTCTGTACTGTAAAATTTGAATGTAAAATGATTTATGCCCCTTTGATCCAGAATACCATTATTACCAGCAAATGCATGAGTTAGACTGAAAGCCCAAGAAAAATAGGAGAGCATGTTTAGTGGTACACACAAGCATCCTTCTTCAATTTTCAAAAACACTTAATTCTTCAGTGGATCAGATATATTCCTGGATGTTACCTTCCAGGTTGCTATTTGTAGCTACTCCTGCCAAGAGTTTTACTGTCTTGTTATGTCAACCTCATCTGTCTTGCATTGTCTTCACACAGTCATAGTAACTCACCTGCTACTACTCTGTGAAATCCATCATTTAACTACACCTAGGTCAATCTGTCTTTCTGCTGCCTTTACTTTGCCTCTGTAACTTTTCAGCTTTGATCAAATGGCCCAATGACCAAATTAAATCAGCTAATCATGTGGCTATGACACAAGTGATGGGAATAAATCTGTGATTATAGGTGGCCATTGCCAAGAATGCATAACTTGTTTCTTGCTATTTCTAGTGCAAACAAACAAAGAGATAAAGGTGGTGTCAGCTGTGCGCCGCAGCAGCATTACCTCTGCTGTAACAGGAAGTGCAACCTTTTACAATACAGCTCCCAGCCTTGCCTGCTTGCCTTCAGTGGAGTGTAACCCTAAATCAGGTGAGAGTGGTGCAATCTAAATTTACAATAGCAGTAATGTAAGTAAATTGGGTGTACGCATTCAGTTATGACACATTTCATACACCGGGAAAAGTGACGGTTATGTAGTGACCGTGCCACTGCGCTGGTAATCCAGGCCACCAGGCTGTTGCACTGGGGACATCACACCATAGCAGGTGATGAATTTAAACTCGATGAGATCTGCAATTAAAGTTAGATCATGTAACCATTTTCAAACTTTGTAAAGACTCACATAGTCCACAAGTGTCCTATAGGGAAGACAATCTGCTGACCTTACCTAGTCTGGACTACATGTGATTTGTTTCTCCACAGCAATGTGAGTCACTGTTAACTGCCCTCTGAAACAGTCTTGAGAGCCAGTTAGTTCAAGGTCAATTGAGATCAGCAGCAAATGCCAGTCTTGCTATAGTGGGAAAGCACTTTCCAAAATTAGGCAACTCTAACTTCAGCCCATTTTTATGCTTGGCATTAGATATGTAAAAAATGACAGGTTGAGAGCTCATTATTTTACAATATGCCCAAAAGTCTTAAGGATATAATGGCATTACAGAAGCTGCAGCAGCACAGATTCATCAGAATGATACAGGTTGACTGGGCTGAATATTGAGACCTTTTTGCTTAAATTAGCTTTGTATTCCCTTCAGTGTAGAAGCTTAAGGATGATAGCATTATTTAAAATGATTAAAGGATTCAATTGAGTAAATGAAGGAATGCAATTTTGACTTGTGGGGAAATCCAGAATAATGATGCATAATATTAGTCTTCAAATTTGAGCGATTGAACATTTCTTCACATGAAGGGTGGTAACAACACGGAATTGTTTTCTCACTGTACATCCCCACCCATGGCATCATCACCCAAAAAGCTGTGGAGGCTGGGCTGATTGAAATGTTTTGTTCTGAGCTTCATAGATTCTTTTGAGTAAAATTCCCAGGGATCTATTGCAAAGGTAGTAAAATGGATTTGACGTACTGATTAGCCATAATTTATTTTAATGGAAGAACAGAGTCATAGGTTTGATCAAGATCTTCTGTTTTTGTGCTAAACGCATACCTCAGTGTCACTAAGTGACTGCCCTGTTGAATTCAATCAAGCTACTAAAATCATTTTTTATGTTTCCTCTGGGAGGGACAAGCACCTGGAGTTAAGCTTAGATGCTTAAAAATGTAGCTAAAACTTGTATCCTTCTCAATACTTGCTGACTTCTTTATTCGCGATCCAAACTGTAGAAGTCTGTGGGCTGAATTTTAACCTACATAAGGAGAGAGTTTGGTTTGGGTGGTTTATGTTCTGAAAGATCTATTTCCTGACACAAACCCATTTCAAAACCATTCATTTCTGGCTTTAACTGAGGCTAGAAATTTAACTGGGCCAAGCAAGTGGATTCCCTGTACAGAAATCTGCAGTGAATCCCAAAGTAACAACTTTAATTCATTCAGTGCTCTCAGCTGTTGTGAGCTGAGGCCGGACTCTTTGCTCGGCCTCTGAGGTACTTATATAACCACATTTCGTTTCTTCTGCATTATATCAGTTTGAAAAAAAACACATTTTCTGTGTGCATGTTCTGGCATTGCTCCAGAACTGAGCTCTTGAGTGTGCAGTTTTCTGGCCCACTCTAGTCTATCTTCTTCTCTTATCTCCTCTATCTTTTGGTTTCAATTCTCCAAAATCTCCTGCAACATGCCCTTCTCAATTTCCTGCTCATGTAATGCTTCTCCTGTCCCTATTTTTTTCTAAATTATTGCTCCGGTCTTAGCTTGCAGCTCTTCACTCTGGACATTTCTATTCTGTTGCTGCAGCACCCATCATTCTCTTCCCCAGATTAACAACCTCAATTATCCAATCCCTTCACATCTCCATCTTCCCACTATTCTGATCTTCATGAGATCACCAGGCTATCAATATAATCTTTATGAATAAGATCCTTCTTTTCATTTTAGAAAGGTTAGATCACATGGGATCCAGGGAAAGCTAGCCAATTGAATACAACATTGGCTTGATGGTAGGAGACAGAGGGTTGTTGTTCATACGGGAGCCCTATAACCAATGGTGTGCCGCAAGGATTGGTGCTGCATCCACTGTTGTTTGTCATTTTCATAAATGATTTGGATGAGAAAATGGAAGGCATGGTTAGTATGTTTATGGAAGACACCGAAAGCAGTGTTATAGTGGACAGTGAAGAAGGTTCCCTAAGAGTACAAACTCTGCCAGTGAGCCAAGGAGTGGCAGCTGGACTTTAATTCAGATAAATGTGAGATATTGCATTTTGGTCAGATAAATCAGGGCAGGACTTACAAGTTAATGGTAGGGCCAGAGGGAGTGTTGTCGAACAGAGAGACCTAGTAGTGCGGGTACTTGGTTCCTTGAAAGTGACATCACAGGTAGACAGGATGGTGGGGAAGGCATTTGGCACGCTTGCATTCATCAGTCAGAACATTGAGCATAAGAGTTGGGAAGTCATGTTATGGCTATACAAGACATTGGTGAGGCCACATTTGGAGTACTGTGTACAGTTTCGGTCGCCCTGCTATAGAAAGGGTTCAAAAATGTTTACAAGGATGTTACCAAGACTAGAAGGTATAAGTTATAAGGAGAGGCTGATTAGGCTGGGACTTCTTCCCCTAGAGCATAGGAGGCTGAGTAGTGACCTTTATAGAGGTTTATAAAATCATGAGGGGCACAGATAAGGTGGATGGCCAAAGTTTTTTACCCAGGGTAAGGAAGCCCAAATCTAGAGGTTTAGGGTGAGAGGGGAAAGAGTTAAAAGGGACCTGAGGGGCAACTTTTTCCACACAAAAGGTGGTGCATTTTTAGGACGAACTGCCAGAGAAAGTGATATAGGCGAATCCAATTACAACATTTAAAAGGCAATGGGATAGGAAATGTTGAGGGTTATGGGCCAAACACAGGCAAATGGGACTAGTTCCGTTTAAGAAACCTGGTCAGCATGGACGAGTTGGGCCGAAGCGTCTGTTTCTGTGCTGCATGACTCTATGACTATTTACAGAATTGCAAAATAATGATGCATATGGAACAGTGTTTAATTCATGGTCTTCCAGAAATACTTATGGTTCTCAACAACATTACTTTGGGTGGTTTTATAAAATCTTGGCTTGACCATGGACACTGACTCTTCCCCCTCTACAAAGAAAGCCTTGTTTATCTACATGGTCTGTGATGTTGGATGCCTAAATCAGTATTTTGTTATAATGTCTAATTTTTGAGTCTCATTTTCTGCTTGTTAAAATCCTCATCTGTGCAGATCACCAATGTGCTGCAATAATTCAGAACTCTTTATTAAACTGGGTTAATAATTGATCTGTACCCATTTTCGTGGCACGTTTTATCTGCACAAAGTCACAATGAGGCAAATATTATGATTCCCACTGATGATAGTACTGGACAAATCAGATCCTAGAATGAAATCTGGCTTGAAAGACTGTAAGTTTATTTTTAGCAATTTTTTTTATATTCTGGTGGTTAGTCTTTGGCAGTCACTTGTGAGTATGTTCAATGTATTTTTTTAAAGACTATGTCAAAGTTGATTTCTCTTAAAAGGATAAAAAATTAACTATTTTGCATTGCACAAGAACTATTTGAAATGGTCTTATTTAATATATCAACAATAAAATTTTTACCCTTTTATGCTCAATAACAACCTCTCAGATGCTCAAACCACAGTGAATTGTTACCCTGTTTTCACCTAATAGTTCCTTCTTCACTTGGCATGGCTGTACTTAGTTTCTTTCTGGAAAAATTCTTCATTCATTCGATGTCGTTTCCTTTCAGTAATATCTCTTCATGAGACCTTGAAACAAGCTGGTATCACAGCTAACTTATTCTTTAATGTATGTTCCTTAAACTCATGCATTCAGTAGCCTTGTAGGATGTCCTCCTCTCTGACACCATAACACCTATTTCTGGACCTTTTCTCTTACTAACATTAAAGCCATTCAGGATGACTTCTGCCCTGACTTTTTTGGAAACAGCTAAACTGCACTGCTGGTATTATCGGTCTTTACTCTCTGAATGACTTGCTTCTCTTTGAAAGAAGCCTGCACACTCACTGATCTTCTGGATTAATGGTTTACCAAAAGAACTTTTCTGTTTCTGCCCTCCTGTGTCCTAAGAAACCTTGTAACAGCCCATTTTTTTCCCTCCTCTACTCTTTGTTTTCTAAAGCACTGAACAATTCAGCTCAAGATGTTTTTTCAGAAAGCCTCATTAAAATGCATGTAAACCACTTTCCAAACAACCCTCCATTGCTCACAGAAGTCAAAAATGAAATTAGAACAATGTTTCTCCTCCTTAACACATCACAATAAAGAAATACAAATTAAAGTAATACATTGTTTAGAACTCAGATATACTCACGCACACATACTCTCTCTCACACACACACATTCTCAAGTGCGCGCGTGCGCACACACACGTACACACACACACACTTTCCTCTCTCTCTTCACTCTCCTCACACTCTCTCTCACACACACGCGCACATACACACATACACGCACACAAATCTATGGGGTGATTCATTTCATCCAAGATGTTTGTTTATTTGCAGGTATATTCTACTTTTTTCAAAAAAACACACAGTTTGTTATCACAGCCAGTGTGGCATCTTATAAATTCCAGCTTTCAGAATAAAACCAGCCTGATTCCAGACTAATACTCTGAGACAGATTCTGAACAAAGCCTCAGGCCTACAATTCAGTGTCTGGCCTGAGCTGTCACCTTTTGAATATTCCTATGGCTCTGCCTGATTGTCATGACAGCATAGCACTGACATTGACTTTATAAACAGTTTACACACATCTAACACTCATGGTCACTTGCAGAGACTTATCATCTGACACCACTCACACCAGTTATATGATCTTTTGATCTCTCTGCCCTTTATCTCTCTGCCTATAAACTCTGTGTCTGTTTGCCTGCTCTCTCACTGCACCTGACAAAGTGGCTGCATTCTGAAAGCTTGTGTGATTCCAAATAAACCTGTTGTATTATAACCTGGTGTTGTGTGACTTCTGACTTTGTTTAGAACTCAGGTTATTATCCTTTGGAAACTTATCAGGCATCTTCGTACACAAGCAGCATACAAATTTTGTGATGACTGATTATTTGCCCGATTCATGAGTTGTTGACTGGTGGCATGCTCAACAGGGCACCTATTGGACTAAGACAACAAGGTGCAGGGCTGGATGAACACAGCAGGCCAAGCAGCATCATAGGAGCAGAGAGGCTGACGTTTCGGGCCGAGACCCTTCATCAGAAAAGGGGGAGGGGAAGGGGGTTTTGAAATAAA